CCTTATGCGGCGTGGGGTGGGAAAGAAAAGAGAGAGCCCTCCATAGTCTGGCTCCAGCGGGGCGTCGTCATGCTACGAGGCACTCTAAACTGCATTGTCGCTAAATGGGGGTTTCCGATTATTAGGGGTACCTTATTTTGGGGTCCTTATAATAGGGATCCTACTATTTAGGGTACTATGTTAGGGTCCCCTATTTTCGGGAACCCCCAAATATTTCCGCTTATGCGATACTCTACGGCAAACCCTAAACCCGACACCCTAAATCCTAAACCCCGAACCGAGCGCGTCTTGACAATTACTGCGTGCGTTAGGAGTTGCACCGGTCTCAAGTAGTCGCTGACCCGGCCATGACCCATCATATTCTGGGTTCTTGTTAGGAGATTTAATTTAAGTTACCATAATAAAGAAACCGTACTATTTACTATAGATCCCTCTTATGGTAACTTAAATTAAATTCCTTAAGAAGAACCCAGTATTTGGGGGTTACTTGGAGCTTCATGGGCAGTTCAAGTTCGGGTTATAAGCGGCTTCCTTCAGCGGTTTTGTAGGGTTTAGGGTTTCCCTAAACCCTAAACCCGAAACCCTAAACCCACTTATAACTACCCATGAACTTCCAATTTGGGATCTTCCACGGGTTAGATGGACTCAGGCCCAGGCTAGTCTAGCTTATCCGGCCTTGTATCTGGTGTAGGACCCCACCAACAATCAGAATTGTGGGTTTACGGTTTTAAGGTTTGGGGCTTAGGGTTTAAGGTTTAGGGTTTTGGGTGTAGGGTTAAGGCAGCACAGCAGCAACACTACGTCGTGGCCGTGTTTTGTTGCTGGTCGCTTCGTTGCGGTCTTTAGTCTTTGTTTGGTTCTTCGGTTACCCCTGTTTACTAAACGGCCCCTTTGCAATTAACTTAGAACCACTTTCCGGAAATCCCCTAACATTGTCCCCGCCTGTTGAAAAGACCTCTGTTGAATTAGGGGTTCAGGAGCAAGACAGGAGCGAGGGCAGGAGCAAGAGCCCTAAACCCTAAATCGTGGAGCTAAATCGTGGAGCAACAGCAGAAGCTGCTCTTGTCCCAATAGTGGCAGTAACAATCGGTCGGCGAGTTTCTCTTGGGGGGCGTGACCCCGCCTCCCCTCCGTTTCATATCGGGGTAAGGATTGAATTTCATGAGCCAGCACCTAACCGAGACCCTCCACCTACCCGAAATGCCCATTAAGAATTTGGGACCATATACCCTTGTTTGAGGGTACAAGGAGGGACCTGCTAACCTAACCATCTGCCTGGCCGATTTTGCCTTGTCAGCAGGCCAACCTGCATCCCGTCTACCAGCATCCACCTGAACCCCAAGCCGTGAAACCTACACAACACAAAACCCTAAACCCTGAACACTAAACCACGGAACCCTAGACAACCCTATACCCGAAGCCCTAAACCCCAAAAGCACAGACCCTAAACCCTACCACCCCTAAACCCTAAGCCCGAAGCCCTAAACCCCAAAAGCACAGACCCTAAACCCTAAACCTCCAAAAGCACAGCCCTAAAGCCGGGAAGCCTAAGCCCAACGCTTCCCACGAAAAGGGCCCCTCGAAGACGTTCCCAGCCATCTCCGACGCAGCAGCCCTCTCCAAGGCGAGGACGGAGTTTTTGGAGTTTTCGTTTGAGGATTTAGGTCTGCTGGTTTAAGTTGGGGGGATTTTGGGGTTCAGGGTTTGGGGCTTTTTAGGATTTTGAGGTTTAGGGTTTAGTGTTAAGGGATTGTTATAAGCTTGTTGTTGACATTCAAAAAGTTCTGCGCTACATGGGGGTTGCGGAAATCCCACCCCAATCCCGTGCAGCGGAGACCGCGCCTCTTGCATTTGGCAAAGCGATACATATCCCAAGACCCTCCATCTAGCCTCTATTGGACCCTAAGTACCCCTTATTTGGGACCATATGCCCCTAAACTCTAAACCCTAAAACCCCGATAATTATAGACCCGAAATACCCCTTCTTTGAGACCATGGACCCCTATTTTGAGGGTACAAGGAGGGTCCTGGTCGTAGTATAGGGGTTTTAATAATTAGAATAGGGCTGGGCTAGGCTATAGTATTATTATAGTAAAGAACCTCCAAAAACTTATTCTAATAATTAAGGCCCCTACATTACCACTTCTAGAGTCTGTGTCTTCGAGGTTGCGAAGACGGGGTCAGCACCCACCCACAGTTTAGGGTTGAGGGTTTCAGGGTTTAGGGTTTAGGGTCCCAGGTTTTAGGGTTTAGGGTTTAGGAATGAAGAACAGCATGCGTGCAAGCATAATTTCGGGAGCTTGCGTGGGAGTGGGAGGAGAGAGAGGTCAAAAGAGAGTTCAACCCAAAAGCAAGGTTAGAGACAACTTACAGTCGGCGCAATACAGTGCATCGGGAGGACTAGCGTTTCGTCCCGTTGAACCTTTCTTGTCTTAAGGCCTCTTGCAGAGTCGCGGAGTGCCCGGTGGCTCGAATTACATGGTCTGGCTAGCAAAGTACTTTACGCCCGTTTTCAGAAATTGTACCACTTTGTCGTTCCGGAGGAGACCAGTTCTCACACGCATGTTTGAATATTTGACCATCGGCTTTCCCAGTAGGGGGACATACAGTTACACAGACAGCTACATGTGCAGAAGCCACTCATACATGTACAGAAAAACTCATGCGATAAATGGATCCGAGCCCTAAGTCTAGGACATTTTCAGGTGGGTAGTTACCGTTATTAGGAGCCTTATACAAGTTCTATATACCTTACGGAAGCCTTATATACCCTATATACCCTAAACTCCCCACCTTTAGTTTCCTTTAACTAATTTAACTAAGCCCTATATAAACCCTTTTTGCAAGAGGGGCCCCTCGCCGCGGCAGCGCGATCGATCGGCCGACGTCCCACCGGAGGTGGGTGGCCTGTGCTTGGCTGGAGGCTTTTCGAGTTGGGGCTGACAGATTTAGGCACCAGGTCCCTAAACCCTAAACCCTAGACCTTGAAACCCTAGACCCTTAACCTTTAAACGTAAACCCTGAACCCTAAACCTCTAATTAAACCCTTAAAACCCTAAACCCTAAACCTCTAATTAAACCCTAAACCCTAGACCCTAGACCCTACACAGCTAGCTTGGGGCTTGGGAGGCTCAAGAAGTCTTTCGCCATCCGGAGGACCAGCTGTCCCACAGCGTTGCAGCCACTTGATTACAGAATTCTAGTCTACACTTCCTTCAAAAGCCTTCGGTGTCGACAAGTTCGATATATAGAAGGTGGGGCTCAAGTATGTTTTGGAAATCTTGAAAAGCTCTTATCCCCAAACCCTAAACCCCTTCAGTCGCCTGTTCGTGCTGGAAGCTTGCGTGGGGACTTTGGGGGCACTATTGGCAATTGGTTCCTCTCAGTAGTGCTAGCTGCGGCAAATCGTGAGCAGATTGTTGGGTTCGGATTCATGGCAGTCAGCTGGGTAGCTGTTGGTGGATTTCAGCAGTGACTAGCGTTACAGTTTTTGTATACGACGCAAGGATCACTTCAAATGCTGCCCAACACCATTGACGTGCGTTTCCGAAGTTGTTGCACCCTTCAACCTCGCGGGTGCAAGCCTTAATGACTATATTCCTTACGTGTCGCACTTAGAGGGCTTCCTAATTATGCACCGTAGAGGCAGGTTGCCTTCTTCGGGATAGCAATTTCCTTCATTCACTCACCAGAAATCTAGCCCTCTGCAACTGTCCCAATGTGCAGCACGACGGCGTATGCGGCTATGAGGAACATTGGGTCTAGCTAGGCACGTCACTACAGTGTCTGAAACAAACCTGCGCATCCTATAAACCCTAAATGCGGAGCCCATAGGAAGCCCTGCACTTTGAGTGGGGAGTGCGTTGGCAGCGGTTGAGGAGATGCCGCAGCAGTTTCGATGCAGCATCATCGTCATCATCCAGAAGCATGATACCTTCAGTCCATAGCAACACATCAGCAGTACATGCCCCAACCATCGCAGGAGTAGGGCTACGGACGGGTTAGCATGACCAAGAAGGCCACAAGCCAATAGTTATGCCCCCGTTGATGGACCAGCAGTTGATCGCGGGTGTCAGCAGTGTGGCGCTGGCTTTCCACCTACACGCGACATGTGGAGGTCATTGGTGCGGAGTGTCGCAGGTGGGGCTTGTTACTGTACTGGTTTGGGGTGGCGTCTACTCATTGCTGGTTCTCTCGATCATGAACTTCTTGAACACTGCATGTCACACTTTGCATGTTCTGCCTCGTTACATCCGACCCGATGCAGTAGCTATATAGTATGTCAGACATCGTACTATTTGCATCGTTGGTCCATCTTCTGTTGCCATTCGTCTGCTTGGAGGTTCATGGGTACGTAGTTATAAGTGGGGTTATAAGTCCCCATATATGGGTTATAACTATAGTTACCCTACTTATAACTCCACTTATAACTACCCATGAACCTCCAAGTGATCAGTTTGGAGCGACCTTCCAACCTGCCTTCCCTGGCAGGCACTCGGGAAAGGGACGACATGCGACCAGCCACCGCTCAGTGAGAGTGAGATCACACGTTTGGAGGAAGACCTTGTGAAGGTGGTTCAGGGTTTAATATAGGGGCCTTAATAATTAGACTCGGGTTTTGGGTATGTTATACTATTATACTGTAATTCGAACCCCAAAACACTATTCTAAGTGTTAAGGCCCCTACATTAGAACTTTCGGTTGTAGGGTTATGGGATGAGGGACGTGGAGTTTGGGCTGTAGGGTTTATGGCTTCAGCGTATAGTAGGGTGTGGGGTTGAGGGCTTCAGGTTCAAGACCTCTAGTGCTTTAGTTTAGGTCTTGGCAAAGCCTAGATTTCAAGCCGTATCCGGGATGCTGCCGTGTCTGCGTTATTTCGGACCCTGTGTAGCTTCTCGTTTCTTAACAAAGTGTTGAGGATCATAGGCCTCCATTTGGGAGTTTCCGAAAATTAGGATATGCTATTTGGGGGTCCTTATAATAAGGATCCTACTATTTAAGGTACTATATTAGGGTCCCCTATTTTCTGAAACCCCATTTGGATCAGGGGACTGAAGCGAAGAGGATTATAAGTAAGGCAACGGCAGGTCTGGATGTCTTGTTTGGTATATGTGTATATTATACAAAAAAAGCATGCGTGAGGGCGGGCGGGTAGCCTTAACTTTTTAAACCCTAAACCCTGAACCCCGAAACCCTAAACCCTAAACCGTATACATATAGCAAACAGTAGACCCTAGGCCCCCGCTCGAAAAGGTGCGAATACAGATGTTCAAGAAGCTATCGCGAGTGCCTTGGACATTTAGGGCCCGGGACTATTTGCTTTGGTGTGCTTTGTCCCATGAAGAGGGCTGAAAGAGGCACTTTCAAGTTTGTACGAGGGTTCAGGGTTTCTAAGTTGCTAAAGTTGTTCATGTCTTGACGATTTTTCTAGATGCAGGTGTTGGTTCATTGTGCCTTCTGCACCGTGCTGGTGTTGCTGGTGGAGATTGCGTGGGAGCCGAACGCTTATTCGGCAACTTTGCTGGTGCGGCGGGCAAATATGAAGCACACCTGATTGGATAGTTTGTGTAGCTAGGTTGCTGACTTTCGAGTCAGTTTATACCAGGAGGTGGGGTCTTTACTTTGGCCTTGTAGGGGACAAGCCGAAAGCCTAAACCCTAAATCCTAAACTTGTCTCGAAACCATAAACCCTAAACCCTGAACTAATTTCTATCTTTGGTCCGTCTCTTTGAATGCTTGGGAAGCCTTACAGGACCCCTTCCTCCTAGCTAGTTCCAGGGAGACCCCGCAAAGGGGACCCTTCTAAACCTACTTGTGGCTCTCTTGCGAGGAACCTTATTGAGAGGGTCGACATCCCTTCAGGGTCCCCCTAATCCTAACTTCGGTTTAGGGTTTAGGTTGTACGGTTTAGGGTCTACTTCCTTCCTGTGCGGAGGCTCTTGCCATTCTGACATATGTGATCTACCATCTGGTGAATTCGGGTCGCGTGGAGGTCACTGACCGGCTTCTTAGGCCGGGGTCAGAACGTCGACCACTGATTAAACAACCCGCCTTTCTCTTTTTACGGGCCGAACCCGCAACCCTAAAGCGTGATCCGTCTCAACTAATTAGAGGTTTCCGAAAAATAGGGGCCCTAACATAGTACCTCAAATAATAGGATCCTTATTATAAGGACTCCAAACTACGGTACCCCTTATTTTCGGAAACTCCCAATTAGACGGTAGTTAGCAGTCTTCCTCTGGGGCTTGACTACCCTGCACTCTAAATTCCCGAGGCACCGAGGCAGCAGCAGACCTCTCCCAACACGGACATCGTAGACCCGAAAAGCCCTGAAGCCACAGATTCCATCCTTGAAGCCCTATCTACATCCCAGACCCTAAACCCTACACCCATACAGGCCGCTATGCCCTGTCCTCAACGGTATTATCATGACAGCTCTTGTGGCCAGTGCCTATGTGAGTCAGACCGAACGGGAGCCCTGGCGGTTGATGTAATGTAGGGGCTTAAAAGTACCTGTGCTATGTTGTTGTTTCTTTATTACAAGTATAGTATAATGGGCCCCCAAACGTTGTTCTAATCATTCAGCCCCCTATGTAAGTGGTGTTAGGTTACACTAAACCCTAAGCCCTATTTTTTTGGGGGTGGGGGAGGGTTAGCGTCAGGGGTTTTAAGGTCTACCCTAGATTTTCGAGTCTATAGAGGAGATTGGGCTTGAGGTTGTACGATTTGGGCTTTAGGGTTTCGGGTTTACGGTTTAGGGAATGTTTAGGGTTTGCATATGAGGGCTTTATGGGGTTAGGGCAATTCCGGGAGGGCACTTGGGGCCGGAATGCGCCCGAAGAGGAGTCTGGAAGGGCGAAGAGCTTAAGAGGACAGTTCAGTTAGGGGTTATCAGGAGGATGCTAGGCATCCTCCCAGAGTAGATAAGGCTCCCAAAAACACGTAGTAAACAAGAATTAGGACACGATATTCCATATAAATCCCATTATAGTTGTGCTTATGTCCTTCCCCTAGAAAAGGGTTGGCACCTATAACTATATCGAAGCTCTCTCTCTCTCTCTCTCTGTCTCTTCCTATCTCTCTTTCTCGCAGAGTTATACCCTAAACCCTAAACCCTAAACCCTAAACCCTAAACCCTATGTTTGGGGATTATCCCATCATCCGAAACCTTGGGATTGCAAGGGAGTGTGCACTAGAGCGTGGGAGTTGAGTTCCTTCCCCTCTCAGAGTTTATGCTGAGGGGTTGCCCGATCATCCGAAACCTGCGATTGCAAGGGCGAGCGTGTACTAGAACGTGTGAGTCGGTTTAGGTTTAGCGGTTATCTGATGATCCCAACATCGGAATCGTTGCGAATGCAAGAGCGAGTGTGGACTAGAAGCGCTATTCCACAGCGAAGCCTTAACCCTAAACTTTCAAAGCCCCAACTGCCACCCAAGATCACTCCAAACCCAAACCCTAAACCCCAAGCCCTAAACCCTAAGCCCTAAACCCTAAACCCTAACCCAAAAGCCCTAAACCCCAAGCCCTTAGCCC